CCCCCCCCCCCTCCCCCACCCCCCGCGCGTCCAAGCATTGTTTCACGAGGTCCCCCCTCCCGCCCCGTATCTGAGACTAACCGCAATTGGGGTCACCCCCCACCATCCTGAGTGCTTATCGTGCTGCCGCCGTGTTTTGGGGCTCCGTTCTTTTCCGTATGCGCATTTGTACATCACAAGAGCGGGTTCTTCTTAATACCACGTCGGAACTGAACACTTGTTTTTCTTGTGGCGAAGTTTTTAGATTTTGGGGGGGGGTGGCTCAAGTTCTCCACTTCTAATGTTAAGCGGTGGCGCATTCTGTATATCAACTGGGGACTGGTGTAAACGTGTACAGTCGTGGGCGCGGTTTAGCGGTTCCCTGTTTAGCGGGATGCCCTGAATAGCGGCTATAAAATCTCGTGACACGGCTGCACCCCGGTTTAGCGCTTATTCAACCGCTAAACCGGTCGTGTCCTCAATAGCGGTTATTGGACATGTTTGCAGCCGCCAATAGCGGTTATCGGTTCAATTTTTGCGGGGACCTGCCTGTAGTGCGCGCTTCGCTTGCACATACTCACAGCACAGCGACTTGGTCAGCCTGTTAGCTGGTCGATGCTCATAATAAAAAGGACACAGCGAGACACACACACATACATACACCAAACGACGCAGGGCCAGAGAAGAATCGCCGAAAAATAGCTGAAGAAACGACGATGAGAGCTGTTAGTGCACTGCCGCCCTCAGCGGTCTGTGGTGTTGAAACTGGGGACTATGTTATCCCAGGAACAGCTGATAAAAAAGGACCATGTATTGTATATATTCGTCACGCAAGCCCCTCAGGCAAGTGAGCTCGTGGGCTCTTTCTCTCTCCAGCACTAGGGGTCTTCTCCTACCCCCAATACACTTCATACCCATTCACGTACCCCCCATCAGGCGCATACAACGCATGTAGATCGGACACACATCCAAAGTACCACAAACAGCCCCCCTACTTGATATGCCGTACGATCTCCCAACCAATACAAAAAAACGCAAACAACCACTTGAGAAACATCCTCTACAAAAACTGATCACGCATTTAACACAAAGCGTCTCCATCAGTTTATTCACGAATCCAATGCACTCGTCCCTAGACATAATCCCAAACCGTTGACACAAAAGAATCATCCTCGGAAAAAACACCCAACAATTATTCGTGTTACATCAGAAAGGCGTCGGCGGCGGCGGCGGCGGCGGGGGGGGCGGCAGCAGCGGCAGCAGCAGCGTCGTCCCCGGTCGCCGCGATGGCCCCGGGCACCTCGACGGACGCAGCGGCGGTGGCGGCGGCGTCGGCGGCGGGGGGGGCGGCAGCCCCGGCAGGAGCAGCGTCTTCCCCGGAAGCCGCGATG